TTGAGGACGCTGCGGCACTCGGCGTCGTCCTTGATTAGGACAATAAAGCCATTTATTGATTTACCATATTTTCTTCTCATGTGCCCATGTCAACTAAAGCGGTCCCAAGCCGATTCGACACCGATGCTTATATAGAACGACGGCAACGGGCTTCTGCCGTCCCCCGCTACTAGTACGACACCGATGTTCGACTCCAACGACATCTTCCTCTTCTATGAGGGCTGATCCGGATTATATTATTGCATTTGTGTCCCGTTCTTTCGCTTCACTACTGACTTTCGACAGCCGTTGCTACAAAGACAACCCAAAGCAACAATCGTCCATCACACCGTCACTGCATGAGTTCACGGTCATTAGCGCTGAGCATCAACGACGGCAACCACGAGCTCGCCGATGCGTCATTACATCAAAGGTACGGCTGCCTTCCTGTTCATAAAAGAGAGTAGAATTGTGTCAAGCTGCACACTAGCGTTGGGCTTTCGAGCGCATCGGCACACTTGACCGGCGCGATATGCCCCACAAAATGCACAAGCCAGTGGTTTCGATATTATTTTCCGGATGTATCTACGGATAATAGAGGCGAGCGACAATCCAGCGGCACGACCATCATTCCAGTCGGGTCATCACCGAAATGGCAATTCCAAATGGCTTCGCTCGCGCTCCGGTCGTTTGACCTGGTTACGGCTATTGTGTCGTACCAAGAAGGACTACCACAAGACTTGGCGGTCGTCCAGCGCCTCGCCGACGCCGTCCAGCTCACGCCAGGTTCGGAGTACCGGTACATTTGCGAAGACCAAACGGGGTACCTCGCCCACATCCCAGCCCGGTTTGCATCATCGCCGTACCTCCAGCGGTATCCACACCGAACAACCAAGCTTCCTCATAACTCACTCTTTGTTTCGCCGCGCTTCTACGACCGCGCCCTTGCGCTTCATCTCTCGGTTGTCGAAGGCAACGTGGCGCTCGTCCAGCAATGGCTGCGATGGGATGCCTCACTGTGTACGTCGGCGACGCTGGAGCTTGCTGCTGCTGCGTCTCAAGGTCCGATTCTGCATCATCTCTTCGAGCAGTTTCCAGCGCTGGCCACACCCAAGATGATGGACCTCGTCGCCATGTCGGGCAACCTCGAGCTTTTGATGTGGCTTCATGAAGCGGGTGCTGTATGCTCCACCGCGGCAATGGACGGCGCGGCCATGAATGGTCACTACGACAGTGTCGTCTTTCTACACTCTGCAAGGACCGAGGGCTGCACGATGGCGGCGGCAACGGCAGCAACCGTCAATGGCCACGCGTCGATCGCTCGCTTTCTTCTCGAGCAGCGCACCGAAGGCGTTGACCCGACGCTTCAGTTTATACAGCCGCATCGCGAGCACGTGACGCACAGTGTACGCGGCGAGACGCAACTCGAAGCCGTCGACCTCGTTGCAGCCAGAGTCCAGTTGTCTGACGCGGGGCTCACCGTCATCGTGGAAAAGGGTGGTCTAGCTACACTACAGTACATCTACGCGCGGGGGTACCTCAAACGAATGACCAAGCAAGTGCTGGAGCTGGCGGTGGCCAAGCAAGACCACGCGATACTGCGCTATATCCTCGGCTGCGTCGACCGAGAGAACCCGCGACCGCCCAGCGACGATGAGTGGCTGCCAACGGACACACCAGACACGACCTTTTCGTTCGATCCACTTGACCCGAGTCCATTTGACCGATGGGAGGGCTGCAAAGTGATGGAGCTTGCAGCCTTCAACGGCGACCTGACGTCGCTGGAGCTCTTGCACAAGAGCCGCCTGCGCGTCGGTTCGGAGCGCGCCATCGCCTTTGCCGCCTACCGCAACCACCTGCACGTACTCGACTGGCTGCTCAAGAACCGACGTGACGGGTGTGGCGAAGACGCGATGGCTCTTGCTGCTGCTGCCGGCCATTTTGACGTTGTGCGCTGGCTCCACGAGGTCTACGGTCTATGGCGCACCCACGCCGCCTTGGCATCGGCAGCGTACATTGGCCACATGGCGATGGCGACGTACCTCTTGAACGTACCGACAGGCGGCGTCGACAATCAGAGTGACCCAGCCGACGCGGCCTCAATCTGCCAATTCACGTTTGCCATGCACTATCGTTGCAACTCGTCTGTCGACTACGCCCGGGGGTCGGCAATGCACTGGGCAGCGAGCCAAGGCCACTCTGCGATGCTTGAGCTGCTCACCGCTCGCGGCTACGAGGTGCCACCGACAGCACTCGGGGCTGCTGCGGCGAACGGTCATGCTCAGATCGTGCGGCACCTCCACGAGCGACACGGCGGCATTTGCGACTTCAATTCTGTCTGGAACGCTGTTCGGAAGGGCCAAGTCGATACGGTTGCGTACGTGCTATCGCAGCGCTGTTGGGAACGTCAGCAAGACTTTGGCCCACACCAAGACATTGAGACTGCGATGTACATGCTGCTCGTGGCCACCGCACGCAGTGGAAGCCTCGACATCTTGGCGCTTGTCTGCGATTCTTTCCAACTACCAACGGGGCTACCAGCTCGCATCTCGGAGCGCATGATGGTCCGCGCTGCGTCCAACGGCCACCTCGACATGCTCCAACATTTGCACGACGCCTATGGCTTTGGATGGACGCCAATGGTCCAAGAAGCAGCGAGACGTCACGGGCAGAAGAAGGTATCGCGCTACTTGAGCTCACTTGGACCCGCGGACGCGTCCGTTTACGAAGGCCGCACGAGTT